GTAAATAATTGAAATACAGTTGATTCTGCTTAATTGGGACTCATTGGGACTAATCCATTTTGGTCCAATTAAATGGCTGCCCCAGTCAAACAAACTAATAATAAATTCTATAATAAAATATGTAATACGTAGGTAAAAAATAATAATTAGGTACCTATTTTAATGCTTTATTAAACCAAAATACAGAAAATATTTGTACTATAAATTTGCCAGACTCATGATGATAGATAGTTGATTTGCGTAATGCTAGTGTTGCCAAATATTAGTAGTGAAATACACAACGGTTGACCATTCGAGCCATTCCTGATCAAACAATTTTTCCTTTCTTTCTTTTTAGTTACAACATGTTCTAACTAAAAAGGGAAAAAGAAAAGGGTTTGTCCAAAAATCATTTTATGGTCTTCCTTTGAGCACAGTTTCCTTTACTTGGAGATGGGCCACTTTGACAGGAGTGTCTGCCAGCTCAATGCTGGTCTCAATCTAATGGCTGCTGTCTGAATCTGGATGTAATTATACACACAATACCTTCCAAGGGAACTCTAGCAGTCAAGAGACCTCAAAAATTGTCCGGAGATCTTTGTCTCTTTCCTTTTAAGGGGATTGTCTGGTCCAATCCAGAGCAGGGTCAGTAACTCTCATTCGGGTTTGCCTCAGACGAAATCATTGTGTGATACATCCTGCCATGCTGATTCCCTTCGGAAAAACCAAACTGTCTGAGCAAAAGACAAAATTGCTTTGTCTCTGCCAACTATTAGGCCTACACGACATTAGTGTACGTAGTGCCTTCATATTTTTGAAAGATTACTAAAATATATCAAAAATTGCTAAATTCCTTTTCTGCTACTGTCCCAATTAAGCGATTAAATTATGTATTTATTAGTTTCTGTACTTTGAGATTTGGCCCAATAAAGCAGTTGCCTCAATTAACCGATGGCCCAATTAAATGGAATCAACTGTAGTTATATTTTATTGTATATGACTATCTCAATAATGTCTTTCTCAAATGTGTAATAATTTTGTTAGAATATTTAGCAATTATTGAAAGAAGTTTGAATGTAAATTGGAATGCTTCTTGTCTTTGTTCTTTAGGAACATTATTGTCTAATATCAAGAGAGTTAGAGATTAATTAATAGTTCTTTGATAAAATTAGAAATGTAAATTTATATTTTTTGTCTTTATTTTTTAATTAAATAAATCAATTATTTTAGTTTTAAGGTTTTCTTAAAATGTTTTAATGACATAAACTGATAAAATCAAAATATTCTTAATTACAAGAATAGAAAATAAGCAGATGATATTTTATATGATTGAGCCAACCTTGTAAAAAATTGACTTTTCATAATTTTACTTGCATGATTTTAAATCTGATACTATCTCGATTCAGGATGAATACAATAAGTACCAATAAATTGGATGTTATTAGATCAATTATTTGAAAACTATGTTATATGAGTAAATCCAGAAAATTATTTTATCTTTAATGAACACTGTAAAATAATAATAAATATTGCCAAATGTCAAAATTCCTTTGTATGATTTGGAGTTGTAAATATATCAATTTTGTGGAAAATTTGTAAAAAAGCTGAAGAGGGACTGTAAGTCCAAAATGCATACTATTAAAAATAAATTGATATATTAAGGCTATTCTTGTGTCTGATGACAGTGTGATAAGTGTAGAAATAAAGAGGCCATTTATACAGCTTGCTTATATAAACATCATATATCTTCAAATGTCTATAATGAACAGACTTTTTACTGGCCACATTTTTTTGTATCTTTCACTTCACTTAATAGTGTGTGTTATATTGTTCATTAGTTTTATAAGAATTGTTGTCTTTCTTCTTATTCATTAATTCAGTTAAAAATTCATAAAATCTTTTATGTATTACGTCATTCATTCTGCTGCATCAAAATCAAGACTTGCATAAACACAAAAAATCATGTAATATACGACTTATTCATCTACTCTGCTTATTTTAACACAATTTATTTTCAGAAATCAAATAAAAATTATTACAATAATGCTTTCATTTTTATTTAATCTATATTTTTAAGTATATTACAAAATAATAGATATGTGTGAATTCTTTTTTCACCCGAGCTGATTGGTATATTCAGACCTTTACCACTATCACTTGGTAAAAGGTTAAAATGTAGACATTTATCAGGGATTCTGGACTTTTACCAGCCAATACTGGTAAAGTCTGAAGTCCAGTAAATCTGGACATTTACTGTACTTCAGATTTTTAGAGTAACACATACATATCCTTGTTTTAGTCACCCAAAGTTTTATAATTAGGACAATTACATATTTTAGTGATAATTGACTTTTGTATTATAACCAATAATGAATGAGTTGTTTTTGTTAAAAATAGAATACAACAGTTTTAATTTTATTCAAGATTCACATCAATTTGATGGATATGAAGTCTGTTTTTGGAAGACATCAATATTAGTGATATTATATAAGTCTGCATGACTTATATATATACCACTGAAATATCATATACTATTGATATTATATGTTATAAGGCAACAAATGAAGATGGAGACACATCCATTTATGTTTTGGATGACAATGCTCATGTTTGTTTAATACCATGAAAGAAAAGATATTGAGCTTATGAAATGGTTTGCAGGTTCACCTGATCATAGTCTAATGATCATGCATATGTACTAGACCTAGGGTGGGCAACCTTTTTTATAACATGGGCCAGAATAAATTTTACGTTTTTTCCGCTGGCCATAGTAGTTAATTGACACCTTGTGACCTGTAAATTTTTAGTCTGCAAATATGAAATAAATAAATAAATAAAAATAAATTAATTACTACAGTCGACCCCCCTATAACACTGTTGATTATTCCGTTTTATATGAATTCCATGTTGTATGAGTCACTTAGATTTTACAAATGCGTGTGCCGGGCTGTGAACGGCTCACCTATTTGTAAAATCTAAGTGACTTTAAACACAATAAAGACAGCACTATGTAGTTGGATATGACAGACATTACATTTTCTAATTGCATAGCTTTTGCACATAGATTTTTTTGATGGATGACGCGATGAGATATAAATAATTTAGAAAAATTCTGTTCTCCCATTCTTTGTTTGAATAAGGAAATGACTCCCTTATTTTTTTGTCATTGCTGCCACAACACTTTAGAAAATAATATTCAATTTAAACTAGACGAATTACATCGAAAAATATTTATTTATAATTCTAAACATCTCGCGGGCCGGATAGAAACTTTTCGCGGGCCACAGCTGGCCCGCGGGCCGGGGGTTGCCCACCGTTGTACTAGACAGATGTCTTGTAACTTGGTAACTAACTTTAATAACTGGTCAGTAGTTAGCCTTATGTGGGAGTTTACAGGATGAGAGTGCTGAATGCATTCCCAGTTGGCATCGTAATAACCGACGATGGTTATATTGTAATGTTAAATATACTGGAAGAGGAGATCAGACCAGGGGTCCAGGTAGTGTAATTGGCAATGCATCTGCATGGCAAGTGGGAGTTGCAGGTTTGAGTCTCTCTCTGGGTTGATTCTTTTCTTCCAGTTTAATCTAAAATTATTTAATTAAATTATAATTGTTAAATTTAATACGAGATGGCACCTGACATATTTATTAGTAATTTATAATTATTATCACCAATAAATAGCCTGATGTTATATGGCAGTTGATGTAGTGTTAGAACATCAAGTGTTAGAATAGTAGCCATTCTTTATTGATGAATAAAGAATGGCTACAATTTGATAATGGACAGCACGCTAATCGTTTATTACAAAAACTTTTAACATATAAGCGTTAAATTAGACACCTATGTCACTAAATTGACGAGCGCTTTCGACGATATACACTTTCGTCTTCTTCAGGTCATTAGAACCTTTTTTGAATACAAAATTTTTAAAAACATTCCAATCTTAAATAGCAAATTTGGAATGATAGCAACGGTAGAATATAAACAGATATTTAAATAAAAATATGCGCGGTAGAATATAAACAGATATTTAAATAAAAATATGCGCGGTAGAATATAAACAGATATTTAAATAAAAANTTTATATTCTACCGCGCATATTTTTATTTAAATATCTGTTTATATTCTACCGCGCATATTTTTATTTAAATATCTGTTTATATTCTACCGTTGCTATCATTCCAAATTTGCTATTTAAGATTGGAATGTTTTTAAAAATTTTGTATTCAAAAAAGGTTCTAATGACCTGAAGAAGACGAAAGTGTATATCGTCGAAAGCGCTCGTCAATTTAGTGACATAGGTGTCTAATTTAACGCTTATATGTTAAAAGTTTTTGTAAGAATGGCTACTATTCATCAAGAATTTTTGGATATGTAATTTTGTCAATGTTTAACAAATGTATTGCTGTTGCTGAGATTATATATCCTGTCATTGTTTTGTTTCACTAATCTTATGTTTATACTGAAAATTTTATAATGTACTATTTTGTCAAAGTGGCTTTTGATTTACACAGAATATCAATTAGATGATGGAGAACAGAAAATTAACTCTCTTTTTTCCCTCTCTCTGTCAGTTATTACTTTTAACATTTCTGATAGATATTGTAAACAAAATTAATAGGTCTTCTTCAGTTACCAATTTGCTTGAAAATGTTTTTACTTTATTAAAGTTTTTACTGGAATTTGTAAGATGTAAATTTTATTTATGAGCATTGTTTCCTCTGGGTTTTTATAGTACTTATGCTTTGTCAATATTCAATTTGTTTTGTTTTGTCCATTATAATTCATTGTAAATTGTACATATGGAGAATAAAGTGAGAGGCACTTTGGCCTAAATAGTCCATTGTGTATCCTACAAGAAATTACTTCTAAAATATCATTTTTTTAGAAACAGATATGACTTCTGAATTATAATTCCTGAAGAAAATTTTTAATTATGCTGTAATGCATTTCACTATTTAATATTTTTAAAAACATGTTTTTATTTGTATTTGAGTTGTTTTATAATTTATTTTCAGATATAAAGATGAGCAAATATAAGGATGAGTAATACAACTTTGACAAAAGGAATATTAGGCATTAAAAGAGATCCAAAAAGACCACTTCTGTTTGGTTTTGGAGGTGAAATGTGGCCTTCTGATGATTCTGAAGATTCTGACTATATAGCCAATGATGACATAAAAGAAAAATGGTAAGTTTTACATTATTTAAAGTTTAATATTTGAGATTTATTTATTTATTTATTATGTCTTTTATCTGGTTTATCTTATTTCTAAAACTAAGTCTGCCAGCTGCATATGAGCCACCTTTGTGTAAACTTTAAACAACAACCCACTGGGAAGTCAATGAAAGTAATTACAAAAAGTAAACAATTAATTCAAATATACATGTGTGTTACAGATGCGGAAAAAACCCAGAAAAACTCTGCATGGCCAGCCCGTCTGAGTGAGGCGTGAACCCATGCCCAAACTCTGTGTTTAGGGTCTGGTCTCCACAGATGAGCGGAGACTGAGTCCACTCGGCCACTGGTGGGCTCAAATAATAGAAATAGGCTTACCTTTTGTCTCTATGAAATACACAATATTTGTGGTCCATCTATTTACAACTTATTCACAATATGGTCTGTCAAGCAAAAAGTTTACAAATCACTGCCTTAGAATACAGGAAAGTTGCATCTTGGTGAGTCCTAAAAAATATTTCAGATGAAAACTACTTTATTGCACTTGCAACAATACTAGGTGAAGACTTGCAGAGAATTGTCCAAGAAGGTAATGCTGACTACTTTCTAGGTCCAACATGGGGCAATTTATGGGAGTTTCATTCTAATAAAAGCTATGACTGTTGCTACTTATGCAAAAATATACTTCATGCAGCAATCAGATAAAATAGGCCTGACCTTAAAATGGAAGACATTACTGTCTTGAATGATAATGCCCAACCTCATATAGCAGAGAATCAAATTTGGTTTTCTAAAGAAATTCCTTAGTGGACAACATTTTATCAATGTTGAAGATGTCATGACTGTTGTGCAATAATGAATCCATATGTAGTCATTAGCTTCCTCTGACAGTGGGATCCAAAATCTGTTGTGTAATGGAATAAATGCTTGAATAATATGGGAGATTATTTGGGACAAAAGAGCCCAATATGTGATGTCCACATTTAAGTTGTTTCTATGCATTGTAATTTTCAAATCAGAAAGTCTTTGCACACAATTTTTTTATCACATTTAGTATTTATGTTAAATATTTTATATGTTGTGTAGTTAAATTTATAACAATCATTAAAATATTATAAATAAAACTCTTAAAATATAAAAATACAGTCGACCCCCCTATAACACGGTAGATACATTCCGGTTTTTATGAATCCATTTTCTGCGAGTCCTTAAATGCATGAGCCAATCACAGCCTGGCACGTATGCAGTTTACAGACTACGGCTGTTTGAAAGGTTTTCTTCCATAAAATTAATCGATTCTAGACTAATTCAACTCAACATTTCCAAAATACATATAATTTTTTGGGAATAATCCATATAAACTATACTATAAACAAAAAATTGTAGGATTACTTACTGAGAGTGCACCGTTCGACTACGCCATTGCTTAAGCTTGTTTTTATCATGGAGCTTGTCATCGAATGGTGCTCGCGAACTTCCTGATAAATTAATTTTTTTTGTGAAAAATTTGCTGAACTTTGGAGACATCATTAATATAAATACAATTTTTATGGACGTTAAATAATAAATGGTTTTTAGTAGGCCTGCTGCTCGTTTAAACTCAACGGTTTGTACAATATCTGCTATTGGTCTAAATTTGACCAATCCTGTCACGACACGAGTCGGCAATGACATTTTACTGAATTATACGAGTTTTTTTTAGCATGTTTGTACAAATACGGTCGCAATTTTTTCACCGTCATATAGAAATCCGAACTATATGAACCCATTTTATAGGGGGTCTACTGTGTTAATATATTTCACATATATAAACATCCTAAAGCTTGATGATTATGTTAGAGCCAAACGATTACCAGATTAAATCAGGATAAATACTGCTACTAATAATTATTAAATAGTGAGTAATTTGACACTAGAGATAGGCATTAGGCACCATCTCTTATTAAATTTAATAATTATAATTAAATTAATAGAGAGATGGTTCCTAACATGTATCTCTAGTGCCAAATTACTCAATATTTAATAATTATTAGTAGCAGTAATTTATCCCGATTTAATGTTGTAATCGTTTGGCTCTGATATGATTGTTGGGCTTTAAGATGTTTATGTATGTATATATACACCATGGCAGGGTAAAGCATTACAACAAATACATCATTACATAAATTTTGTACAGTAATGATGTATTTGTTGAATGCAGTTGAATGCCATAGTGGTTATAAGCTATAGGCATTGAGTCATCTCCAGTTGGTGCCATGAGTAAATGATATAGTCATATCAAAATTAAATGTCTGGAAGGTAAGGATCAGACAGATGTCCTTAAGTCCATAAGTGGCAATGGATCTGCATGGTAAACAACAATAATGGGTTCATGTCCTGCTCCAGGCTGATTCTTTTCTTCCAGAAATTTCTAAGTTATTTAATAAATGTTAATTTAATTATAATTATTAAATTTAATAAGAAATGGTGCCTGATGTCTATCTGTAGTGCCAGATTACTTTGTATTTAATAATTATTAGTAGCAGTAATGTAGCCCAATGTATTCCAGTAATTGTTTGGCTTTAATACATTTTATTTACTAATTTAGGGAAGAAAAATCCCAAGTTAATTCACATCCAAATCCTATGGAGCTGTTAATGGATAAATCTAGCTGTAGCATATTGCCATCTAACTTAAACTGTACAGAATATATTGGAAACAGTAACAATAAAAATAACCAAACTGAAGATGTGCCTTTTCAACTGAATAATTCAGATAATGTTCATCAAAGAGTCACTTTTTCATTATTGTTACCAGATATTCAAACACATGATAATAAAGAAGCAAAAATTGGCAAAACACACACTCATAAATCAAAAAAAGCTAAAAAGAAGAAAAAGAAGCTAGAAGATAAGGAGGAGAGAAAATTAAAGAAAAAGAAAAAGAAACATGATAACTTGCTTTCTCTTAGCGAACCTAAGAAGAAAAAGAAAAAACACAAAAAATCTAAAAATAAAGAAATGGAATTGTGTATAGAAAATAATTTATGTAATGATGTATTTGTTGTCACTGAAGAAGGTCCTTGGGGAAGTCATGTTCCTGAAAATGTCTTAATTAAGATATTTTCATATGTTGTCATAACTGATGGAGCTATACCATTTTTACCAAGGTATTTTATAAAAAGTTTTCTGTCATTAAATTATATATTAAATTAAAACAATGTTTTACAATTTTACAGAATGTCAAAAGTTTGTAGACTATGGTATAAAGTTGCTCAATGTCCATCCCTTTGGGAAAATGTAGACTTGTCTTGGGGCAGAATTCATTTCTCAGAATTTCAACTAATAAAATTATGTTCTGTAAAACAGGTATCCTTTGCCAGAGAATTTAATTTTTCTGGTTGGGGTGCATCTCTTACACAAAGAAGTATTGAAGTAAGTTTTAATTGATTATTTTCTTATAATAAATTTCCTTTTTTTATTACTTATAAAATAAATGCTATTTAATTGATAAAATATAGATATTATTTTATACTTCATCAATTCTTAAAACAATTAATTCAGATGCTTTTTCTCCTCTATTAATAATATATTTTATATGTCAATATAAATCGTAACTTATAAATGAATATTATAAAGGGGGATCAATAAATAACCAGCCAAAAGCAACAGCATGGAATACTCTTTATCAGCTGGTTATTTATCAATTTACTTTTATAGTTTACTTATATCTTTAGTAATTTAACTTCAAAAACTTTTTGCTATTTAAAATTAGGAAACTTGCAAATAACCAAATTTACTTGTTTTATCAATCATTTTGTTTTATTTGTTGACTTAACACGTAAAATATACATACAAAAATATCATTAAACTTCTCACTATCCAATTAATCTTATGTAAAAGTATCTTAAAGTATAAAAGTGTTTGCACATGTTCATTTTTATGTGCAATTAAATTTTGAACAATAAGATCTAACTGAACTTTTTTTTATTCTTAATTTTCAGGCTGTAGTTGAACATTGTCCATTATTATCAACCATCAATTTGAGTAGGTGTATAAAAATTTCTGCTGATTGTATACGTTTAATAGCAGATCGATGTTCTAAACTTTCAAATATTGATTTATCAGGAACATGTAAGGTAATAAAAAAAATTGGATGTTTTTGATCTTAAATTCAAATGTTAAGATTTCTTGTTTTGTTCTAGTTTTGATTTCTTGTTTTGATAGTCTTTTTTTAAATTGTTTTAAATATTAAAAATTAATGTTTTTGGATAATTTTTAATTATTTTAGTCATTATTTCAATTTTTATTTTCGTTTTGACTTTAGTTTAAATATTAATTTAAAAAAGTTTCTAATCAATTTTTAAATAGTGATTTATAACAATAATTAATATGAATTTTGAATGACAATATTTAAATATTATAATAATTATAAATCTGTTATCNATACAATTTTTATGGACGTTAAATAATAAATGGTTTTTAGTAGGCCTGCTGCTCGTTTAAACTCAACGGTTTGTACAATATCTGCTATTGGTCTAAATTTGACCAATCCTGTCACGACACGAGTCGGCAATGACATTTTACTGAATTATACGAGTTTTTTTTAGCATGTTTGTACAAATACGGTCGCAATTTTTTCACCGTCATATAGAAATCCGAACTATATGAACCCATTTTATAGGGGGTCTACTGTGTTAATATATTTCACATATATAAACATCCTAAAGCTTGATGATTATGTTAGAGCCAAACGATTACCAGATTAAATCAGGATAAATACTGCTACTAATAATTATTAAATAGTGAGTAATTTGACACTAGAGATAGGCATTAGGCACCATCTCTTATTAAATTTAATAATTATAAATCTGTTATCCTGAAATAAATATTTTCATAGAGGCATAGCAGTACAACAAGTCCAGTATCACCTGCTTCACTTCGTCATCTTGTTACAAAATCTGGAGAACATCTTTCACAATTGTATATTGCAGAAAATGATGTTGCTGGCTTTACTTCTATTATAAAACTAATTAGTGTAAGTATTTTGTTAGTATCATGCATTATTTTCTTAACAAGTTAGTTTTCTTTGTGTTAGATACATTTGAAGAAAAAATATGAATGTTTTATTTTTTACATTTTTCTTGTTTATGTTATAGTTTTTGTTTTTTTCCATTTTCTTTTACAAATATATTGATTATAGTCATATCAAAATTAAATGTCTGGAAGGTAAGGATCAGACAGATGTCCTTAAGTCCATAAGTGGCAATGGATCTGCATGGTAAACAACAATAATGGGTTCATGTCCTGCTCCAGGCTGATTCTTTTCTTCCAGAAATTTCTAAGTTATTTAATAAATGTTAATTTAATTATAATTATTAAATTTAATAAGAAATGGTGCCTGATGTCTATCTGTAGTGCCAGATTACTTTGTATTTAATAATTATTAGTAGCAGTAATGTAGCCCAATGTATTCCAGTAATTGTTTGGCTTTAATACATTTTATTTACTAATTTAGGGAAGAAAAATCCCAAGTTAATTCACATCCAAATCCTATGGAGCTGTTAATGGATAAATCTAGCTGTAGCATATTGCCATCTAACTTAAACTGTACAGAATATATTGGAAACAGTAACAATAAAAATAACCAAACTGAAGATGTGCCTTTTCAACTGAATAATTCAGATAATGTTCATCAAAGAGTCACTTTTTCATTATTGTTACCAGATATTCAAACACATGATAATAAAGAAGCAAAAATTGGCAAAACACATACTCATAAATCAAAAAAAGCTAAAAAGAAGAAAAAGAAGCTAGAAGATAAGGAGGAGAGAAAATTAAAGAAAAAGAAAAAGAAACATGATAACTTGCTTTCTCTTAGCGAACCTAAGAAGAAAAAGAAAAAACACAAAAAATCTAAAAATAAAGAAATGGAATTGTGTATAGAAAATAATTTATGTAATGATGTATTTGTTGTCACTGAAGAAGGTCCTTGGGGAAGTCATGTTCCTGAAAATGTCTTAATTAAGATATTTTCATATGTTGTCATAACTGATGGAGCTATACCATTTTTACCAAGGTATTTTATAAAAAGTTTTCTGTCATTAAATTATATATTAAATTAAAACAATGTTTTACAATTTTACAGAATGTCAAAAGTTTGTAGACTATGGTATAAAGTTGCTCAATGTCCATCCCTTTGGGAAAATGTAGACTTGTCTTGGGGCAGAATTCATTTCTCAGAATTTCAACTAATAAAATTATGTTCTGTAAAACAGGTATCCTTTGCCAGAGAATTTAATTTTTCTGGTTGGGGTGCATCTCTTACACAAAGAAGTATTGAAGTAAGTTTTAATTGATTATTTTCTTATAATAAATTTCCTTTTTTTATTACTTATAAAATAAATGCTATTTAATTGATAAAATATAGATATTATTTTATACTTCATCAATTCTTAAAACAATTAATTCAGATGCTTTTTCTCCTCTATTAATAATATATTTTATATGTCAATATAAATCGTAACTTATAAATGAATATTATAAAGGGGGATCAATAAATAACCAGCCAAAAGCAACAGCATGGAATACTCTTTATCAGCTGGTTATTTATCAATTTACTTTTATAGTTTACTTATATCTTTAGTAATTTAACTTCAAAAACTTTTTGCTATTTAAAATTAGGAAACTTGCAAATAACCAAATTTACTTGTTTTATCAATCATTTTGTTTTATTTGTTGACTTAACACGTAAAATATACATACAAAAATATCATTAAACTTCTCACTATCCAATTAATCTTATGTAAAAGTATCTTAAAGTATAAAAGTGTTTGCACATGTTCATTTTTATGTGCAATTAAATTTTGAACAATAAGATCTAACTGAACTTTTTTTTATTCTTAATTTTCAGGCTGTAGTTGAACATTGTCCATTATTATCAACCATCAATTTGAGTAGGTGTATAAAAATTTCTGCTGATTGTATACGTTTAATAGCAGATCGATGTTCTAAACTTTCAAATATTGATTTATCAGGAACATGTAAGGTAATAAAAAAAATTGGATGTTTTTGATCTTAAATTCAAATGTTAAGATTTCTTGTTTTGTTCTAGTTTTGATTTCTTGTTTTGATAGTCTTTTTTTAAATTGTTTTAAATATTAAAAATTAATGTTTTTGGATAATTTTTAATTATTTTAGTCATTATTTCAATTTTTATTTTCGTTTTGACTTTAGTTTAAATATTAATTTAAAAAAGTTTCTAATCAATTTTTAAATAGTGATTTATAACAATAATTAATATGAATTTTGAATGACAATATTTAAATATTATAATAATTATAAATCTGTTATCCTGAAATAAATATTTTCATAGAGGCATAGCAGTACAACAAGTCCAGTATCACCTGCTTCACTTCGTCATCTTGTTACAAAATCTGGAGAACATCTTTCACAATTGTATATTGCAGAAAATGATGTTGCTGGCTTTACTTCTATTATAAAACTAATTAGTGTAAGTATTTTGTTAGTATCATGCATTATTTTCTTAACAAGTTAGTTTTCTTTGTGTTAGATACATTTGAAGAAAAAATATGAATGTTTTATTTTTTACATTTTTCTTGTTTATGTTATAGTTTTTGTTTTTTTCCATTTTCTTTTACAAATATATTGATATAAGTCTTTTTTATCTTAATAAGGAGATTCATTTTTTAAATTCTGATATAATATTGTATAGATTTATCAATAAGTGTTTGTGTGTTTGTTTCTATTTTTTTATGTGAAGAAATGCAAAATTTTTAAAAATTTTTCAACAAATCAGTAATAAAAAATTCTGAATATATAGTTGTATATTAAGTAATTCATTTTATTTTAATTGAAATACAGTGGAACCCCAGTTAACGAACTTAATCCGTTCCGCGACTCCGTTTGTTAACTGAATTGTTCGTTAACCGAAGCAATTTTTCCCATAGAAATTAATACAAATGCAATTAATCGGTTCTAGTCTCCGAAATTTTTGTGATTTTATTTGTAATATACAGTAATTTTCTTTGATGAAAATGTAGGAAAACAGTATCTATCATTACAGCAACAAACATGTAAACTTTGTTTAATAAAATAGCACTGTACATACCTTCGTTTGTTGTAGTTGGTGGCAGAAAAGTGGAGATATACGGATCTTAATGCTTAGAAGGGGAATCCCCTCTAAAAAATAATGGGTAGCACTTCATCAGAAGATTCTTCGAGTCAAAGTCTCTTTTGGTAAAAAAAAAAAAACCCACCAGTGGCTAAGTGGTCTTCATATATTGAACATAGGGAGTTCGTTTGTGGGTTTGCACCTTGCTAAGACGGGCTGGCTACATGGAGTTTTCCGGATTTTTTCCATGTCTGTAATCCCTAAATAGGGGCCAGTTTCCCTTAAAAACACTTCCCAGAAGGCATTCTTCCTAGGCAGATCGCCCAAGTGTTGCCATACCTTAACAAACAAACAAACTCTTTCCGTAAGGAACAAGAAATTGATTTAAAGTTGATTGTCTTACTCTTTTAATCAAAATTTTTCTCAAATGCGATAGCGCATTGTCGTTT